CATTAAGGATTTTGGAGCAGTGAGATATAGTGTGTGTCGTATTCATCGGTTAAAATCTAAGCTTCGTATGTGAGATGATCATACTTAGAAGGAAATTAAGTGAATTTGCATTAAACAATGAAAGCTGCCTCGCTAAATTTGTAAAGCTTGTAAATATGATTCAAGAAGACTAGTGAGACTAAAAGCAGAGACAGTGTTCTCTACTTATAGTCTCTACTTTTAGGCAGCAACTATCATTCAAACAAAAACTGAATGATACTGTAGTAAACTAAAATAATTGCCTCACTAGAGGATTCAAGCCTAATAAGTGAAAGTCTCTCAAATTTTTTATAAAGCAAACACAAGTTGAAGGAGAGTAAACTAAAACTTATGCAACTAATCAACAAAGGTCTTCTTAATTTCTGTATAATCTTCAAAAAAAAAAAGATTAGCACAGCATCCCAGTGGAATCAAATTTGCCAAAAGAGTAGATTCTTTTACTCGGAATATTCTAGAACCACCATAGTATGTTACTGAGGAGAAATCATACAAAAATCTTGTGTTGAAAGAGACGCTTACCAGTGAGTTTAATTGTCTCGTCCGCGTCGAATTCAGACAGCGACCGACGCGGTGGTAACAACCAGAAGATCGCAGAAAGAAGAATCGCAAAGGTTAGGACCAAAACGATGAGACATCGGAGATCAAAGAGACGCGACAGAGAAGAGGCACAGTTCCGACAGAAGAATCGAGAAGATTCTGGGTTCTCAGGGTCGAGATTCTGTTGTTGCTGTTGATCGTTCTCCTTTGCGTGTTTTCCCCATTTCAAGAGCATCTGAAACAAACTCGATGATGATCTCCACAGTTTCAGGATATGGAAAAGTGAGATCTTTTTGGATTGAGAGAGAAAAAAGTTTGAGTTAATTTTTGGGGGAGGAGAGAAAAGAGAGGATTTGTCTTGAGGAAGACGAAAACGGAAAGTGTTGGCTCAACCAACGTTGAGCAGAAGAAGCACGACAAGGGTGGTGGTGACTAATTTTGTGGTGTGAGAGAGATTAAACCATAATTATTCTTTACTTATATGATCAATTCAATTTATTACCCACCCAAACATCTAACATACAAATAATAGGCAATTTGGGAGATAATCCTTTAATTAAAAACTAGTACTAATGTTTTAGATATAGTTTTATTTATTTATATTTGGTAGTTAGTTCATTTATGGTCAATTTATTGGTTGGTCTTAAAAGTTAAAATAAACATTTTGTTATAAAAAATCTATAGAAAAGGAATTGAATTGGGAAATTCAGTTATAATATAAAAAAGATCTCATTATGCGAATCACCCGAACGTTTCAAATGGACAAGCGTCGTGTTGTCCGATAGAACTTGTATGTCTTCGTAACCGTTGCCAGGGTCGTACGAACTACTAAGGCCTCTGCAACTAAAGCACATGCTGTGAAGTAATTTCCATAGTGGGATCTGCACTCGAAATGAAGACCCAACCATGACCGCAAACCCGAGTTCCATGCTGCATCAGTATAACAAGTGTAGCCGAAGCTCTGTTTTTGTAGAGAAAGATCTCCCGATTGTCGAGGCTTGTTGCTACATGCCATGCTTTAGCCTTTGTAATAACCTTGAGAATATCCTAAAGGGGAGCAAGTATGATCACAGAAGATCACATTATTGCGAGCAATCCACAAAAACCAACAAAAACGATAATTATCAAATAAAAGAGTTATATGTTAAAACGGATTACCAAATTCCGAATTCATTTTTCATTGTGTCTGTGCTAAAAACAAATTGAAAACACGAATTAGAGAAAGAAAAAGTCTGATCCAAAACTTTGAATTTTGTTGTCTACGAAATTTGTTATTTCAAAAGAGTGAGTACACGAATAGTTAAAAAAAAGCGTCCCGTTTGAAAGAAATTTAAAAATAGAAAATACTTAAAAGTTGCGAATTGTTTTTGAAAAAAAAAAAAAAAAGAGATCTCTTTTTCAAAATTTGAAACTCCGCCTTCAGTCTCCTCACGCGCCACCTTCTCAATTCTCTCTTTTCCTTTCCCTCTTACAAATATCCCCCAAAC